GTAACTATGAAAGTTCCTAATAACATACAAAATAAAAAATCATATAAATATGATCAGGAGATTTCAACGCGAATCAAGTAGGAATCCACGATTGAATTCTTTTTTTGGGTAACTATGAGAGATCCTAACAACATACAAAATAAAAAATCATTTAAATATGATCAGGAGACTTCAACGCGAATCAAGAAAGAATCATCGAGTGAATTCTTTTTTGGCAACAATGAAATATCCTAATAACATACAAAATAAAAAATCATGTACGTAAATATGATTAGGAGATTTCAACGCGAATCAAGTAGGAATCCACGAGTGAATTCTTTTTTGGTTAACTATGAAAGTTCCTAATAACATACAAAATGAAAAATCATATAAATATGATCAGGAGATTTCAACGCGAATCAAGTAGCAATCCACGAGTGAATTCATTTTTTGGGTAACTATGAGAGATCCTAATAACATACAAAATGAAAAATCATTTAAATATGATTGGGAGATTTCAACGCGAATCAAGTAGGAATCCACGAGTGAATTCTTTTCTGGCAACTATGAGAGATCCTAATAACATACAAAATAAAAAATCATACGTAAATATGATAGGGAGATTTCAACGCGAATCAAGTAGGAATCCACGAGTGAATTCTTTTTTTGGGTAACTATGAGAGATCCTAATAACATACAAAATAAAAATCATATAAATATGATCGAGAGATTTCAACGCGAATCAAGTAAGAATCCACGTGTGAATTCTTTTTTTTGGCAACTATGAGAGATCTTTTTAACATACAAAATAAAAAATCATATACGTAAATATGATTGGGAGATTTCAACGCAAATCAAGTAGGAATCCACGAGTGAATTCTTTGCATGAAAGACTTCTGCTGCTCTACATTCATATTATTACTTTGATTTTGAAAAGATTCGTGAGGAAGCATTAGGATATATTTATTAGAACCTTTCGGTTCTGGGGTTCTATGGTTCTAGTATCGAAACATTGATATAGATCCTAGTTTTTGCTCACTTCTTCAACCAGTTATCAGTTTTAGTTACCAAGGTCAATACCATGTTATGATTGAGAGAGAGAGAGAGAGAGAGAGAGAGAGAGAGAGAAGAGAGAGAGAGAGAGAGAGAGAGAGAGAGAGAGAGAGAGAGAGAGAGAGAGAGTGAGAGTGAGTATCTGTCTTCATGCCAGGGACTAGAAAATAGGGTGAGAAAGGTATAAATCACTATCATTGCCAAGTAAAAGACTCCACCTCAGTTATCCCCTCATTAAACCAGGTGGCTTCCACTAAACACTCATAGTCAAGCAGACATAAAATGATCGCGCACTTTGCGATTAAAACAGGACACTGGGCAGATGTGTCTTATAGACCATAAGGTCATTTAAGATGATCGAAACCACTCTGAAACACAGCCCATGGCAAGTCACAGCTACTACAACAACTGAATTATATCTGTAAATTAGGAGAAGACTGCCTTGCCTTATGGTCCTAATAATTCGTACGAGTGCTTATATCACACAAGATTAATATATATATATATATATATATATATATATATATATATATATATATATATATATATATATATATATATATTCTAGGTAGTAGGTTGGTAGACAGCAACCGCCCAGGGAGGTACTACCGTCCTGCCAAGTGAGTGTAAAACGAAAGCCTGTAATTGTTTTACATGATGGTAGGATTGCTGGTGTCCTTTTTTCTGTCTCATGAACATGCAAGATTTCAGGTACGTCTTGCTACTTCTACTTACACTTAGGTCACACTACACATACATGTACAAGCACATATATACACACCCTCTGGGTTTTCTTCTATTTTCTTTCTAGTTCTTATTCTTGTTTATTTCCTCTTATCTCCATGGGAAAGTGGAACAGAATTCTTCCTCCGTAAGCCATGCGTGTTGTAAGAGGCGACTAAAATGCCGGGAGCAAGGGGCGAGTAACCTCTTCTCCTGTATATATTACTAAATGTAAAAGGAGAAACTTTCGTTTTTCCTTTTGGGCCACCCCGCCTCGGTGGGATACGGCCGGTGTGTTGAAAGAAGAATATATATATATATATATATATATATATATATATATATATATATATATATATATAATATATATATATATATATATATATATATATATGTGTGTATGTATATATATTTTTTATTATTTATTATTATCACACTGGCCGATTCCCACCAAGGCAGGGTGGCCCGAAAAAGAAAAACTTTCACCATCATTCACTCCATCACTGTCTTACCAGAAGGGTGCTTTACACTACAGTTTTTAAACTGCAACATTAACACCCCTCCTTCAGAGTGCAGGCACTGTACTTCCCATCTCCAGGACTCAAGTCCGGCCTGCCGGTTTCCCTGAACCCCTTCATAAATGTTACTTTTCTCACACTCCAACAGCACGTCAAGTATTAAAAACCATTCGTCTCCATTCACTCCTATCAAACACGCTCACGCACGCCTGCTGGAAGTCCAAGCCCCTCGCACACAAAACCTCCTTTACCCCCTCCCTCCAACCTATCCTAGGCCGACCCCTACCCCGCCTTCCTTCCACTACAGACTGATACACTCTTGAAGTCATTCTGTTTCGATCCATTCTCTCTACATGTCCGAACCACCTCAATAACCCTTCCTCAGCCCTCTGGACAACAGTTTTGGTAATCCCGCACCTCCTCCTAACTTCCAAACTACGAATTCTCTGCATTATATTCACACCACACACTGCCCTCAGACATGACATCTCCACTGCCTCCAGCCTTCTCCTCGCTGCAACATTCATCACCCATGCTTCACACCCATATAAGAGTGTTGGTAAAACTATACTCTCATACATTCCCCTCTTTGCCTCCAAGGACAAAGTTCTTTGTCTCCACAGACTCCTAAGTGCACCACTCACCCTTTTCCCCTCATCAATTCTATGATTCACCTCATCCTTCATAGACCCATCCGCTGACACGTCCACTCCCAAATATCTGAATACATTCTCCTCCTCCATATTCTCTCCCTCCAATCTGATATCCAATCTTTCATCACTTAATATTTTTGTTATCCTCATAACCTTACTCTTTCCTGTATTCACTTTTAATTTTCTTCTTTTGCACACCCTACCAAATTCATCCACCAATCTCTGCAACTTCTCTTCAGAATCTCCCAAGAGCACAGTGTCATCAGCAAAGAGCAACTGTGACAACTCCCACTTTATGTGTGATTCTTTATCTTTTAACTCCACGATTCTTGTCAAGACCCTCGCATTTACTTCTCTTACAGCCCCATCTATAAATATATTAAACAACCACGGTGACATCACACATCCTTGTCTAAGGCCTACTTTTACTGGGAAATAATTTCCCTCTTTCCTATGTACTCTAACTTGAGCCTCACTATCCTCGTAAAAACTCTTCACTGCTTTCAGTAACCTACCTCTTACACCATGCACCTGCAACATTTGCCACATTGCCCCCCTATCCACCCTGTCATACGCCTTTTCCAAATCCATAAATGCCACAAAGACCTCTTTAGCCTTATCTAAATACTGTTCACTTATATGTTTCACTGTAAACACCTGGTCCACACACCCCCTACCTTTCCTAAAGCCTCCTTGTTCATCTGCTATCCTATTCTGAGTCTTACTTTTAATTCTTTCAATAATAACTCTACCATACACTTTACCAGGTATACTCAACAGACTTATCCACCTATAATTTTTGCACTCTCTTTTGTCCCCTTTGCCTTTATACAAAGGAACTATGCATGCTCTCTGCCAATCCCTAGGTACCTTACCCTCTTCCATACATTTATTAAATAATTGCCCCAACCACTCCAAAACTATATCCCCACCTGCTTTTAACATTTCTATCTTTATCCCATCAATCCCGGCTGCCTTACCCCTTTCATTTTACCTACTGCCTCACGAACTTCCCCACACTCACAACTGGCTCTTCCTCACTCCTACAAGATGTTATTCCTCCTTGCCCTATACACGAAAATCACAGCTTCCCTATCTTCATCAACATTTAACAATTTTCCCCAAAATATTCCCTCCATCTTCCCAATTTCCTCTAACTCTCCATTTAATAACTCTCCTCTCCTATTTTTAACTGACAAATCCATTTGTTCTCTAGGCATTCTTAAATTGTTAATCTCACTCCAAAACTTTTTCTTATTTTCAACAAAATTTGTTGATAACATCTCACCACTCTCTCATTTGCTCTCTTTTTACATTGCTTCACCACTCTCTTAACCTCTCTCTTTTTCTCCATATACTCTTCCCTCCTTGCATCACTTCTACTTTGTAAAAACTTCTCATATGCTAACTTTTTCTCCCTTACTACTCTCTTCAC